ACGTTTCGCTTCTCATCCAAGAAGATTGTTCAGCTCTTGGATAAGAAGCTAAATGTCTTCAAAGAAAAAGCAGAAAGTCCAGTTGCCTCTTGAAAAAAGCACATTTGTGACAACCATGACCTGGATGACTGAGACTCTCCATAGGCATTTCATTTTATGTATTATCTTCTCCATATAAAAGTTAAGAAAAAGGATGAGCATTTGACTCTGATTCTATCCAAATTTAATTAAAGCACACAAGGGGCTAAGACTGTCAAGATAGATATTAACCTGATTCTAGATATTCCATTGCACACAATGCTGCATGTATGCTTTAACATTAACATTAACATAGGCTGGGGAGGGACAATTTTTTGTCAGCCTCAAAGGTCTTGTCTACAGAATTAGGGGATGGACAATTCTGTCAATTGCAGTTGAGCAGCTGCTCTAGCAACGGGCTTGCTTGTTTTATTTTACATAACAGGCAGAGGGGAAAAAAATCATGCAATTATGACAATCTGTATCACTACATATACAGAGTAATCCCAGCAGTAGCCTAATTTGTATTTCATATGGATAAGACTCGGTTGTAAATAGTAACGTATCTGGCACCCTCTAGTGAGCTTCCAAAGTAATGATGTTTGAGGAATTGTGAAAAAGAGTTCAATATGATGAACAGTTGTTGAGGGAGACAGATTAATCCTTGTTAATCCATAATCTAGCATGGTTGACCACGTGTGACAGAATGTGGCTTCACTTCCCAACATTTGGCAATTGCACTATAAAGATGGTTTGGTGTCATGGCTGCATGTGTTCACATCCACTTTCCATAATGGAAGCTCGCTGCATGCTCACTGCGTGACTTTCGGCCAGTTTTTTAACTGTCAGCTCAGCTTGTCACAAGGTAGTTGTGGGGAATGTGGAAAAGAGTGATGTGATGTATTCCAGCTTTTGCTTCTGGAGTAATGGAGGAATATACTTTTAATAAATGTGTGAAATGTTACCAATGTTGTGAATGCATTGAAAATTAACTGGGAATAATTATGGAGAAGCCGAAGATAGTTAAATTAAAGCCAGTTGTTTCAATATTTAAAATTTGATATTTTACTGAAAGAATACAGAAAACTAGTGTAGATATCTGGCTTAGGCTCATTTCAGTTACTACATTCACCATCTCCATTATTTAATTAAATATTAAAAGTATTGGTAATATGAAAAATCCCTAGGTTTTTTGTAGGCATGCACCTTGTACCTTGTGCTTATATGGCCAAAGCAGGCATGCAGGTTTAATATGATATCAAGTGGTTAGAATAAACAATCTAATGTTTCTATAAATGTGTAGATGGTATTAAATCTATGGTTTAAAAAATCCAAAGTAAATTCTGCTCAAATCTGGACGTGCATTCACTCTGGATGATAAGATGCATTCATGCAAAGAAGAAGAACGAATATCTAGATCTGTTAGTCTATCAAAAACTAAAATAACCAAGATCAAACTAGTAATCTGAGAATCAGCAAATTTAAACAGTAGTAAAAACTGCAGCCCATAGACCAATACTTTCAATTTAATGCCACTCAAATAAGTTTCTGGTCTGTGCTACATAAGAATTCTGGGAAATGCAGACCAAATCCAACAGGAGGCTGCTGTAGAAGCTATATGTGCGTGAACATACCATGGCATTTACTTTGAGCATTATATTATGTTGTAACCCAGGCCAATGCTCCACATTAACTTTGCTGAACTCTGAATGTTATGTTAGCTGCTTACAGCACCAGCCTATATGTGTGTAATGGAGGGGGGGAGGGGAGAAGAACCAATTTCATATGGCTGAGGATTATGTCCAGTTCTTAGCGGACAAAGTTGCTCGGTTTCGGTCGGATTGGGACTCCACCTTTGCAGATCCAGCCGAGGCACAGGAGGATAATTTAGCAGACCATCGCTGGGTTGAGTTTCAGGATGTTGCCCCTGGGGATGTAAGCAGCTA